AGCGGAAATGGAGGTCAATTTGATATGGTACATTGCTAGCATTAAGAACATCAGTCTACATTGCTAGCAATCCCCTTTCCCCCCAGTTAGGCCACATTGGCACATGGCAGTTTACCACAAAGGTTTCCTGTGGAACCGCGTGGAGGTCAATGACATGGTACATTGCTAGCAATGGGGTTTTTAGTCCACATTACTAAGAATCCTCCTTCCACTAATTTCTCCTATTATGTCTGTCCCATTCTAACCAGGATTGGACTTATTACGACCTGAGCCAAGGTTCGTACTCCCAGCAGTATTCACCAGGACGTCAAGTTTCATACAAATTTTGTTAATTGTCTGTATAGCTAAATTCTATAAGCACATACTAGAATATATATATATGTATATTTAATTAATTTTAATTATGAATTATTTTTTTTAATTAATTTCATTTATTTCTCCTCACACATGATGGCAACAATACATGTAGTATTCTTTATAGTAAAATACTTAAATTTATTATTTGATTTAATGCACTGCCTACATAGAACTCTTTGCCCAATGGTTGACTAGGAGAAAATACCTCATGGTGTTAAGTCCGCCATATGCATCTATATTTGTGCATAAAAGATTTAATAAAATAAAATAAATATATTACATAGGTAGTAGTAGATAATAAAAACATATAGAAAAATTTTCAAAGTTTTATTGAGGTGTCCATTTTGATATAACAACAGAAAATAACGCTGTTACAAACCAGTAGCAAAGCTATTTGTAATCAGTAATAGAGGGTCTATTTCTAAAATTATCATTTATTGGGCAGGTTTCGTATTAGTAAGTCCACGGCGACCAGATATGTCAATATCTATAACTAAATCATTCAAGGTACCAGACAAATGTCTACCTGGACATTGGCAGAGAATCACCGAAATGGTGGAAGCCAATTAGAAAAAAAAAAGAATGTATTCATTGGGGAAATTACTGTACCTACATCTTGTCATATTTGGTCGCTGCTTAGGCACATATATGTAGGTAGATAAAACATTAGTTTTGTGCGCAGAAAACAAACAGGATTCCCAGAGTACCACCATAACATTCTTAAATTTTTCAAATAAATAAAAAGGATTCTTAAAATTGAGGAACTTATCAAAATAATGTACCTAATAAATGCTCTACATTTGAATAACATTATAACGAAAGGCCTTTGAAATAAGTACATTAGTGATATTTAACATTTATATATTTTACACATTTGTGTATCAGATCATTCTCTTCAGTAAGTACAGGCAGCTCTATATAGATCATTCTCAGTGGTTTTATTTATTAATAAATTTTAATCTCTAATACCTTTGTGATAAACGCGGTGACAAAATAGTCGCCTTTATAACATTTCTTACGTATAACGTAAATTACTAAGATTTTGGATTACACTTATTTGATGAATTTTAAATATTAACCACATTTTACAGGTGTTTATGGGCGGCGGTAATCTCTTATCATAATTTGTTGACAGATATATTACAAGTCCATGTAGGCACAAGGTAAGACAATGTTATGTAATTTGCCTCTTATAAGTACTACAAAGAAATGTTACTACCAAACGATCTGATATCCCATTGAAAATCATCTCTGTGATATAGCTTAGCTATGAGACAGTAAGTATGTTTCAGTGTTACCAAAGTAGGTTTTAGCTTACCTAGGTATTACTAATAATTGATTGTGACATCCCCCAAAATAATTCTAAATATATGTCCTTTATTATCTTTATAAAGCTGACTGTCCTTCACATAAAATCTCATTACTTAATTATGAACAAAACGAGTTTGTTATGTTTAAGGAGAGACAGAGGAGGGTTGTGACAATTACTTTAATCAACATATGTTAGTCCATAAACAGTTTAAATTTATAATATAAGTTCTAGGTGCTAATAACTCGATCCATACTCTTTCAGAAACAATTAACAAAATTAATGAACGGTTTAATAGTAAATTGACAAAAACATAATAAGCATACCAACTCGCTAACTGTCATAAAAACAACGTGATAACTCTCCTCAATCTCCTCTAGAATGTTAAAATAATATGAACACCACTAGCTGGAAACATGGATTGTAAATTAAACAAATAATGTTCACAATACTATAGTTGTTCATATGGACATACCGACATTCAATTCTGAATATTTATATCGCAATACCTATCAACCATTCCGGATCAGTTCAACACTACCATTGAGCTAGATACATTTAAGAACGTTACGTTCTATCAAATGCACAAACCAAGGCAGATCAATTCGGCAATCATTCAATCGACATTTCGACATCGTTCATTGAGAATGTACATTACCGAAGTATGCCAAAGCCTGTAGCTGATTAAAAAAAAAAACTTGAATGATTATGAAAAAAGTGGTCTGTAGCGAATTTTGCACTTAAATCTACCACTGAATTAAATACATTTACTTAACAGTCTGCTTGAAGTTTTCCTAAAGAGTTTAGTAAGTGCCTTTTATAACAAAATTACGTTTCAGTGATAATTTAATAGAAATAGAAATTATTGTTTCATTATTGTAGTACATGGCCACTCTTTAAGTAATCATTAGAACAGTGACATTTGTTTTATAATTCACAGACTATACAAACGTGGCAGGACTTCGGTAATAAACGAGGCTCAAATTAGTTCCTATAAGTACCCTGTTCCTACAGTATTCATTCGACATTTTGAAAACTTTTCATAAATTAATCTTATAATAAAACGTAACAACATTGTAATATATCACTTATATAACAATAACTTGTGTTCATTACAAATTAAAAATCGGACCTTCCAAAGCACTTCTCTCTGACTCTCTTCATTAGGTTATCGTCCGGAGTCAATCTCCAGTCAAGAGATCTAGGCTGGGCGTCTTCTACATCCTGAGATTGGGAATCGAATAAGTCTCTAGACAGATGCCGGCCGCGTTCTTGTTTAGGTCTCTTAAACTTACTAACGTTTCGATCAATCTTTACGTCATTCAGATCTTTCCGCGACGTTTTCCAAGCGGATTCGGCGTCGGATTGCTTCGCTAAACCGTTTGGGGGGGAGAAATAAGAGAAAAACGGACTAGAAGTCTTGCTTTCTTTTTTCTCTTCGTTGTTAGGCATTTCGAGAAAGGAGAACGTGTAATCTGCGTCGTATATCTGCTCTCGGACATACGACGTGATGTGACGTCTGTTGATCGGTTTCGGTGAATGATTTTCAATATTTTTCGATCGTGCCTCGTATTTCACGTTGCCGCTAAATTGAGATTGACATTTCTTTATGAACGTCACAAATTCGTAATATCGTTCAATATTGTCAGCGCATTTGTAACATATTGTATTTAGCGTATCGGATTCGTCGATAACCAGTTTAAGGCAGATAACAATTTTATTTATTATATTGGATTTTCTAGAATAGTTGCCAAATAAACTTACATTAAATTCTGTCTCCGATAAACATAAACGGCAAGACTTGCGAGATAACTCCATATTTAATTTAAATACTATTATTGTAGATAACTTTGTAAATTATGTAAGCAGGTAATAATGATTAAAATACATTCAGATATTTGGCGGTATTTCTATTTTTAAAATGGACTAATTGTTTTCAATTATGATTTGTTGACACGGAAACAAGTTTATAATGCCAAATATAGGAAGTGCGTTTGGAATATGTTTTGCAATTTTTTTATATAATAGCCAAATTATTTGTAAGATTTGCCAAAAAATACTACGTTGGACGGCTTAGTTGTGTGTATACAATGCTCGCTCTTGTTGCTTCAACATGTTTATTTATTAAGCGAAAATTATATTTTAATTTAATTATTTTAGAATATCCGAGAAATGTTCTGTGATAATTTTAAATTGTCAAATATTTATTGAGATATAATTTTATATTTTTTTTTGTGTAAAGAAATTAATATTAGTCCCTAATTTCATTCAAATCTATTAAAATATGTATAGAAATGTTTTCACCGCAACATTATATAATATGGTAACATCTTCACACAAGATGTTGAGTAAGGTATTAAATATTGCGGTGAAAGCACTAAATACCAATGAATTACTCATTACCTTATTAAATCGTAGGCAAATTACACACTTCTAATTTTATAGTCGAAAATTTCACAGAGTAACATAAAAGTAACAGATGATGCATAATTATCATAAAGAATAACGTAATTAAAAAAAAAAGTAAAAATCACAAATTATACAGTTATTTCTGTATATTCCATAATGTAATTAGTAAATAAGTGAATAATATTCATCAAGATAATACGCCAATATCAATAAATAATTCTAATACATACATATTCAAAATATTCGAGATCTAAGCTTTCGTACACAAGTATATTAGTAACGACCATTACTTTACTTATATGTCATATCAATGACCAAACTACTATCACAAGCCACCACACTCCTATTCAATAGATAGTGATATAATAAAGTATAAATCTCATTATTCATAAAAACAAAACCTCTAAAGATAATTTGTGAATACTGGCGGTGCGTGGCGATTCGGTGCGATTTTTCACTAATGTTGTTGACATTAGAGAAATAAAGTAACGCATCCCACCGTATCATACCGCAAGCATAAATAGTTATATGTAAATGTATTTTAACTTTGCAACTGTTTTATTCTGTTCCTACGAACTGGTTGTTCCTCTTAAAGTAACTAAAGAACATATTAGTCAAAATAGATTTGTAGGTTATAGTTTTTATGAATATCGAGATTATTAAATTAATAAATACAGTCGTCGTTATAAAGCGAAGCTTTTTTTCATAATTTTCTCAGTTTTTAACACTGCGTCGTAATTTTCCTACATTTTATACTTCAGTGATTTATACCATAAATTGTGACAAAGTACGTTACAACGATGAAGACCGGTTACATTAATATTACCCGCTTAATAATAAACTGCATTAACTGAAAAATATCAAATATAGAAATGCAACTTTAAAGCAAAACTTTATAGTCTATTTTCCAAAATCAGTAATTTAAGTTAATGCAATTTATTAACATACATGCTATACTGGAAATAATGTTGATCATAAAAGTGTCAGGTGACAGAAAAAAGTAAATACCATCGACTACCCTTTTTGACCTTTTCTGTAAAATACTTTTCTTTATTAGAATAAAGTTAAATTACATTCCAATATTGAAATTGATTTGTATATTATGGTAATGGTTTTAGTTTTAATAAATAAGGGTGCTAGAAAATATTTCATGGATTTTTCCTTTCACTGCAAAATTAAGCACAGATGCCGCTAGGTCCTTCTTTTATAATAACGCATTTGTTAGAATTCTCAATTAAAACAGATTGAAATTGATAGTTGTGCGAATATGTATGAAGTGATACAAAGTACGGTTTGTAATTACAACTTTGAAATAGTTCATATATAATAGCAATACTCTACAATAAAATCTGTTTCGAATGAAAAGATGTGCAAATTCGATCGTAAACATTCTAGTCCATTCGGTCATATTCTTACTTGATATATTGTTTGTCACACTTTGTCACACTTTACGGTTAAATCACTGACCTACACTAAACCAACTAGACGTTGTCTTCCTCCTTTTTGCCCCAGAACTTATCGAACCTCGTACGAGCTCTATCCAGCACTTCAGCGGCCGTCAACCCGCCAGTAGCTGGTGTTTCATTAACCACTGTCGTATCTACCACCCCTGGAGCCACCTGTGTAGCTTCAATCGCTTTCTTGATGACTTCCTTGTCTTTGATTGGCTCCTGGGTGGGCGTCTCTGGAGTTAGCTGGTTGCTATTGAATCCGTTGATTCCATTCAGGTTGTTCATTTCTAGCGCTTTGGTTTCGTCTATGGGCGTCAGGCTGATAGGTGTTGTAGGAGTCTTATCAGTACGCTTGCTGGAGCTCGTCGGCGACTCACTCTTTTTCAACGAGCGTATTGGCGACATTTGCTGGTGATGGATCGGCGCGATTTCTGTAACAGTATTATTGGTTTTTACTTGTATGAATTATTAATAAGTGTTATGGGATTTTCAAATGTTACTATTATAGGGTCGCACTAGTTAAACACTATGGTTGCTAATAATGTCAATGTGAAAATTAAAACTATTATTTTTATTACGCTTTTATCCCTTTCTTTCAAATTAAGGATTATAGGATTTTTATTATACATTATAAAGAAAAGGATAAACGATTTTATAGCCAAAAATTGATTTATTAGAAATTTTATTTTCATAAATAATGCTGTTAAGATACAGTCGATTAATCAGAGAACATGGCTATTAATCGACTGTATATTACCAGCCTAAAAATGTTGTCAATATATAGTAAGATATACTTCTAAAGGATAGATCGATGGCATTGATCTGAGACTTTAGCAACATTTGACAATCCCATAAAAACATTGAATAAGCACATAAATACAATTATATGTATTCTAATCTTACATATTATTCTATATTAAATGAATTTGGACGCCATTAAGCTTGCTTTTTTCTACGAATTATTTTTCATACCATATTATTTAAGAGGGCGCATTTCATAAGATAGAATGTTTACATATTTTAAAAAAATAAATATAAGTAATATAAATAAAATGTGTGGCTGAACAAAGAAAAAAAGCTACTTTCGTAAAAAAAGTAGTTTTTTTTTCTTCTGTCGTTTTTTGCACATTTAATTAAAAATTGCATGAAAGTATTTTTTTTCTGCGTAATATATTTGTCAACCTCATGGTATGCATCCTCTTAAGTAACAAAGACCACTTTTTAAGTTATATTAGTACTTACTTTTCCCTCTTATTTAACTGTTTAATTAATGCACAGACCAAATAAATGTTCAAGACGGAACACGACCTACTATCAAAGTTTTTATTATATAAGAATGTGAAAGAAAAGTTTGAAATTTTATATATTCTAAAAAGTATATATAGAGATAAAAATATATAAAAATTACCCCAATTATGTAAGTAACATTCAGATAAATAATTGTAAATACATCCTCAGAGAATTATTTCAAAAACGTGAGCGTAACGTAATCGGAAAATTTCTGACGTAATTTCTAATTTCTGAATAAAATTACTATGTTTTCATAGTTATTTATCACAATTTATTAATGTAGCCACATTAATAAAATGTGCGATCTTTGCGTAATGTGTTATTTTCATAAAAATATATTTCTACACTAAAAATATATTTGATTTTGATTTGACTAATTTTGTCACAAGCACAGTATCACAGTTGACTTGTTTTAAATGTTTATGGTACAATAATGTCCCATCTAGTACTATTTAGTTGGTCTGGTATTAGGTACCTACTTGTATCTATTTGAAGACAGACAGTATGTACAATCCTATTGACCATAATACCATCGACTAAAATTTATATACAATATTCTAGACCTATCTATAGAATTCAACATGCTCTAGTTATAATAATGTAGGAAATTGTCCTGTTAAATCTAAGATTCTTTGGTATGAATCAAGCAAGAATCATCTCAATTGATATTTGAAAACCGTTAAAACTTTATAGTAATTTTATGGTAGATGGTAATAAATTAATGATTTTTGGTGATTTCATGCAGATTATTGTTGTCTAAAATAAAAATTAAATTTGGTATAGTTTGCTAGCTAACACAGAATTTAGCCTCAAAAGTTCTAGCAACTAGATAGGTATAAAAGATATTATCGAAAAGATGCTATTATGTAAAAAAAAATATTTTTTATTCTCATTATTATGATTTGAAGTTATATTTTTTTGCACTTAATTTTGTACCCATACTACGTAAACTGTATCGTTGTGATATAATTTATTATTTGTTACAATCAAATATATTCAATTCTGGAGTCTGGATTATACAATTCTGTTGCTAACAATTCTTCAAATTGAAAACACACTAAAAGTTATATGTAACAGTTTATTTGAAATTGTCAAATGGTACATACATAATCACAAAACTGTCAATTTAAATCCATTCCAAAAATTCAAAGATTATTTGGGTAACACATTTATTACTTTCTATATAGTTGTTGAAGCTTTCTTTTAGTATGAAAACACCTGTACCAGGAGGCGTTTTTTATAGTTAATATAGTATGTTTTATTTAGTTACTTCCTTCATACGAGAATTGTTAGCAACATACTTTTTCAGGTCACGTGCAACTTATCATGAGTACAAAATAGAGCAGCCAATGTAAAATTATTGGTAATGTATCTATTTAGTTGCATTTCGACATTTGACATGTCAAAAATGAAGCACTTGACTGTGTGTTTATCTAGTCCGTGCCTGTCTTCTTGGTAATTTCCATTAAAAACCCTCACTGGAATTCTAATATTTTCAAAACTTATATCCATTTTTACACTAATATTTTTATAATTATGTACGGGATTTTAATGAAATTACTATGTTTTCATCTTTCACGACCATTATTTCGACTTCATCCGGAAGTTCTTCTTCAGGATGAGAGCGAAGGATTCGTCACAGCCTCTCAACGCATTCGACACAGTAAGTTCATTAAATTACCGTATAATTATTATAAAAATCCCACAGAAACCATCTACTCATAAGCTGTTATACACATTTAAAATCTACAATATTAGAAAGAGAAACAGCATCTTCTCGACGAGAATAGAAGAGGACAGGCAGCATGCACAAGTGAACTTCATGAGATGGAGGAAACAAGAGTTAGGTGCCACAAGTGACAGTGTACGCAAACATTGAAACAGACACACACAGACAAGTGTATACATACGTGTTGACGCCTCAGCGGAGTACGGTCAAAATAAATAAAAGCATATCAATTATTGGATTAACACAATTTAATCATGAACTATTCAATAAATATAATATAAAACAGATTCTATATATTCTGGTGTCGATGGTGTGTCGTGCTTATTGGCAGTGACCTCTGGTGTCGACTTTCAGCCATAGAGGCCACTGTCGTAAGACTGTTTGTCACACTCATTAAAACGTGTCTATGGTCGATGGTCTAGGCGGTGACGGTGTTCGTCGTACCTGCCGGCTTCACGGTGGCACCCTCTTCGGCTATGGAGCCACCCTTAAACTCAGAGCTAGGGCGCTTAACGCTTTCATCTGAAATAATGGTGAGCGAGTTGTATGGTTGGATGACGTGACGCTGTGAAATTTACGTTCTATGTCCACGACAGTTGACACGTGTCAAAATATCGTCATTGAAAGACAAGCGAAGGAATCGTCTGTAAACAGCCGAAACATTATTACATGAAAGCTGTCTGGACTTAGAACGATATTCAAATAAATTCACCGAAATGTTTCAAACAATCGTGACGTAATGGAATGAATGATATTTTAATGAGTGTACATTTTTGAACGTACTGTAACTGTTCGATTGTGTGTCAGTGTTGCAAGCTACTACTTCATCATACTAGTGTAGGGTTGCTAGTCACAATAATGAATTATGAGGCAACTGTTACTAAGTTTTTGTGTAATGACAGTGTGATGGCTTTTATTAGCTTTGAACTTAATAATTCCCAACGCTTACCTTCTATTGACAATCTTATATAAGCTTAACTGATTTTAAAGAGCATCTTATTCTATTTTTATTCCGGCCATGTGCAAAATATCAAATTTGAATTTGGAACGTAGTGTGATGCGAAAGCAAAGAGTTAAAATATTATACGGAAACTGGAAGAACCTTCGAAGTATAGTGAATGAGTATATTTGTAATTGACAGCCTCAAATCTGTGCATACTTATTTACAATATTGTATTCTATTGGCATGACTATAAAGTTTATAGTAATAATTAAAAAATCTCTAAAATTTATAAATATGTACGCATGTTCGTTAATAATATAAATATCAGCAATGCAATTCCACAAATTACAAAGAAGTATGTCATTTAAAAATATAAGTAGGATTTTTTTTTAATTTTCTTACTGCATTGGCAAACAAGCTGATATCTTTTTATTTTATAATTGTTGCTGGTTATATAGATATATTTTATAAAAGAAAATTTTTGAAAAAAGAACACAATTTTAGTCTATAAATCCATATATTATAAATTAGATTTCCTTAGCGTAGTGTTGTTATTACACTGAAGTATAATAAGCTTTATAGTCATTCCAAATACATATGTATTATAATAAATATTAACCCAAACCATGTACTTCACGTGAAAAAGATGCTCCTTTGTACAGAGTCAATGGTGAAGTAAAACTAGTTTTTTGAAATCAATCATTTTAATCTTTGGCACTAAAGAAGGTTTTATACATATAATAAAATATGTAATTTGTTTTAAAAAGGTTTTGATATCTCAAATACCGAATTATAAGTTTAGGATTGTCTTGAGATGAAATATTTTGAAGTATCATATTTATTAAACTATCTAAAGAAAACGCCATATTTGCATACGATGTCGGCAATCAAGTAAACGGTCCATCTGATGGTAAACGGTAACCATAGTCTATGGACATCTGAAATACCAGGGGAGCCTCGTGCGCGCTACCGACACTCAAAAAACCTTCATATTAATAATTCTTCAGAAACTCCCATGCTGTAGTCTCTCGAGAAAACCTTGGTAAGTAGTTCAGTCCAAGTAATTTGTTGTTACCCCATAATTTAAGTTGTGGGGTAACAACACAATACGGACCAAAAGTAATCTGATATTGAGTGTAACGCAGCTGGAGTCGAGTCACAACTTTTAAGGCGTTTATAGCCCGAGTTTCCACTTTCATGGAGGAGGACAACTGGCCGAAGGTGGCCATCAGACTCATGAATACAAATGTTTGCATCGTCCAAAGAATCGAACCAAGCAACCAACCAACCAAACGAGTTTATTGTAAATGATATGTAAATGTGGTGGGTGGTAGATTACCGACGTAAGTGCCGTGACCACACAGACAATATTCATGTATTTTATTTCATATGCATGATAGTCTATAATATGGGCCTGTAGTAGCATGAAATAAAGAATATATAATACATAAAAAAATGCCGAAGTTCACAAAACTAGTTTCACCCTGTCACTAAGACTAATTTAACTACATTTGGCGCTGAGTTTGCCCAACAACCGGCACTCACCGCTTTTAACATTCTGTGTGACGGTGAACGTCTTCCCGGTGTCGAGGGGCACCGTCCAGTTGACGGGGTCCGGCGACCGCATGTTCATCTGCTCCGGCGACTTCACCCGGGTCGGTTCCGGTGGCGACTTCACAACTGGTGAATCGTCGAAGAAGTGGTCTTTAGCGACTGAGGCGCTGCGGTGAGACGGGATCTCGTCGTCTGAAAAGTGGCGGTTGTAATGTTTTTAAAGTTATTGGAGTAGATACATTATTGGTATGAAAACTGATAAGCGTCGTTTATAGACCTGAACTACTATTATAACATCATAGTAAATAACAATATAATAAAGTAATTCTTTTTGCTATGTACTATTATATTAGTCAGCCATGGCTAGTCCAATCTAGTCAAAACCTGGAGATAGATAGATAGATACAATTTTTATTTACGTTAAAGGTAAAGAGAGAGGTAAGGTAAGGAGAGAGGTAAATACCTTTATTTAACATAAAATTATTCGTGTTGACTCGCGGTTAACAATATAAATAATGTGTAATAAACACGAGACGCGAAAATAAATAGAATAATGGCAATTACTGTAATTAAGAAATCCAGAATCAGCTAAGTACTGTAACTTGCTAATAAGTACGGTACCTGAAGTAATAAAGTAATATTTTACTTTTTGAGAGTTTTAGTATAAATTAGGTTTTATGAATTAATTCACAGAAATTTTATGAATTCATTCAGACAGTTTTATGAATTCATTGATATTGGTTTTTATGAATCATAGAAATGTTATGATTATAAGTTAATTTAAATTTCCCTACGTAACATAGAAAATAATAGGTTTTTAATCCAATATTTTCGTTAGATCATCCATCTTTATTAATAGATTCAGTTAGATATTCGTTTGGTATCGCAAAATTATGTATAAGATAAGAATCATAAAATATAATTTCTAATTTAGGCATAGAATAAGGGATTGCATTTATTAGTATATATTATTATTATATTTAGTTATACTTTATATATATATGTCTTCCATAGTCAGTAATCATTATTTGCCACTCAGGTGGTCAAAGCATACATTAATGAATTTTGCATAACACCGAATTTTATTGTGATCTTTTTCTTGCATGCTTCATTTATTGTTATTTAATACATTTTATTGTATATAATTATATGTATAGTAAGTACATTACTGGCCAAGCAACAATTTGATATTTAATTGTTAAATGTGCCAAGTGAACCTTATACGATTTTCGTAGTACAATTTTAAATTTGATTTTAAAACTTTAATATTTGCGTATGAAAAAATAATATACATACATATGTATTTTAATAAATTATTATTTATATATTATATATAATTATAATTATTTAAATTATATATCTAACACTTAAATACAATATTAAACCTTAAATGTATTTATCGGTAATTAAACAACCGAATATTATTATTATTTAATGTTTTAATATTTATTTATTAAATGTTAACAGTTTAATAATGATGTTAGATAACTTAATAAATGTATTTTAAATAGATAAAAATCTATACGTAGGTGTTTAAGTTCATGCCATAGATAAAATGCATTTCTTTTAATAAACATTCCATGGATCAGTTTATCCTAAGAAAACACGAACACAGCATGCAACATATATTGTAATCTAAACTAATTAAATAATAACACTTATAAATATTAAAATGCCAATTTAGAATCGGACTCTATTAGAAGAAAATATTTAAAAAATATGTGAAATTTTCAATAGTCTTGCCTACTCTCTAAAAAGGTAATATTATTGTTATGCGGTATCGGTGGTCTAGAGGTTTAGCACACTGCCTTACTTCCGATTCGCGGGTTCGATTCCTCGCATACTGTATTCATGAGTATGATTGTTAATATCGATCTGGGTATGTTTTCTATATATATTATATATGTATCTATAATATTAAATATATATTCAAGTATTCTATCAATGTCTGCTACACAACTTCTTCTAAGTTTGGGACTAGATGGTGCTGTGTGAATTGTCCAGAGTCCCAATATTCTGAATTTTACACATACAAAGTTGCGGGAAATACTGATATATAATATAATAAGGAGATAAATATATACAGAATCACGATTCTAAATAAGCCTGCTACAAAATCACATATGTAGAAATAAAAAAAGAAACCGTATTTATTGGGGTCAAATGTACTTTACATATAATATTATAACATCTAACCTTAGTGTACTGAGGGTAGGGGATTATTAGTAATGTTGACCTTCACATAGTACCCCCTTGGAAACCATCATGATACATGTCACGACGTGCTAACTGTCCTGACGTCATCTCTATCCTATCATCCTTCACTGGTGCCACGCCAGCGTATACCGTTAGTGCAGGCGAGAGCACTATTCCATTATTATTCATTAAAAAAACCTCAGTGTTATATATTTATCGCCTGATTGATCCCCCGTTCACCCCTCCGATCGGTCCCCCGTCCAATTCAAACGGGGATCTAAATTGCCACGACCTGAACAGAGGTTCGAACCCCTAGCGGTGCACTTAGACTAAAGTCGTATCCGTCAGGCGGGAGTTGGCTTTCAGCCGCTCCAAAGTCCGCGAGTTTGGATTATCACCTACACTCGCCCCCTATCGTCCGGTGAAGCTATAAAGGCCAGCTGCGGCCAACAGCATTACAGTAGTCCGAAAAAAAATGTCAGATATATCTAGCCATACCATAGTATAAGGTTATACACACCTAAAAGTCAGTGATATTAGATAATAATGAAAGTAATTCCATTCCCAAAATGAAAATGGAAGACAAAAAATTATATATAATACGCAAGTTTATTAAGACTTACACCTGTCTTTTAGCTACGAGATCGTAGCTTGGTATTTTTACGGTTTTCAGTTTCCCCTTCCTAGTCTAGAAATCGTTATCTGGTAAATAAAATATATGTTTTATTTTTATTTCATTAGACGAGATATATCTTTCACGAGATAAGAGAATAAAACAAAACGTACAAACAGAAAAACCCTTCTTCGAAAATATATATATGTCATGTTTTTTTTTTACTAACCGGTTACCATACAAAACAACGGTGTTACTTCGAGAGGACTTGAAATATGACATTGATTAATTTGAACTCTACCACTCATGAAGTGGTAGAGTGAAATTTCATATCGCTACTAAAACATGCTTCAATAAAGCAATCTGATTGACCTTTACAATTCCACTGAGCTACTGAGCCTCACTAGTCTAGACATTTTAAAACACTAATTAAGTTTTCAATAAGTTCTATTCCCATACAGAATAGAATAGAATAGAAAATCCTTTATTCAAATAAATTTAATTTTGAATAGTCATCACAATTTTTTTAATCTACCACTCTTTCGGAAAGCTGTCTCATCACAAAAAGAAGCTTTCTGAGAATATAGTGCCTATCTTTTCTGACCAATATTTCTGTCCCTTTCTCTCTTTTCTCTACCACTGCCACCACCAGCGCCACCTAGCCAACTAACTTTATGCTAGGTTTACATTCAGCCGCTTCCCCTGCCACTCGCGCTGCCGGAAATATTGCCGGGCGACAACTGAGCGAGAGGGCTGAATGTAAAAACACGCTGCCACTCGCGCTGCCAGTCCTTTGACTCGCGCACGAAAAACCGACAATCGAGGGAGCGCCTGGCAGCGCGGGTGGCCGCGCCAATGGCGTGGGAAGTGTTTCCACTCGTGTTTACACTCTCGTGCTGCTCACTTCCCTGCCCACTCGGGCTGAGTGTAAATTGGGCATTAGAGGGAGCGATTCTTCATTGTTCATTGGAGGCGAATATTTTCCACCTGGCATTTAAAAATATTCTGTTTCGAATAAGTATCGTTTTATTGTAAGGTAAAACGCCTGTATTAATGATTATATCGTTATACATATCTTATATATAAAATTCTCGTGTCACAGTTTTCGTTCCCATACTCCTCCGAAACTTGACCGATTCTCATGAAATTTTGTGAGCGTATTGAGTAGTTCTGAGAATCAGCCAACATCTATTTTTCATTCCCCTAAATGTCAGGGGTAGTCCACCCCTAATTTTTTTTTTATTTTAAGGCAAAACAACGTTTGTCGGGACAGCTAGTACATATATATATATATATTATTTAATTTCATACTCACCTGTCCGCGCAATATTCGTAAAGTGGAGTACATAGTTTTCGTTCCCGTATTAATATATAGACAACAATATGTGATTTTGTAGGTTCATACATCTAGATTAACAACAATAAACACATCTAATATCTAAACAAAAATTTATCAAGACAATGACGTAAGTTCACAAAAGTGTTTTTCGCGTACTACTCGTAGTCCAGTGCTTGTTTAGTGAAAGTGTTGACTATAGTTTATATATCTATGTTTTAAATTAAAGTTAAATGTTATATGCTTTAATTTTTTATTTATATATATATATATAATTTAAACTATATGTTATACTTACAAATTGAAGGCTTTCCAACTTAAGCTAGTAATATAATATACTAGCATCTCGCCCCGGCTTCGCACGAGTGTACATGTATTATATACTTATAAACCTTCCTCTAGAATCACTATCTATTAAATAAACCGCTTCCAAATCTGTTGCGTAGTTTTAAATATTTAAGCATACATATGGACAGACAACGACTTTATTTTGTTCTATGTAATGATTGTCGGTTACTTCTATGGTTGTCCGTTTGGTCACTATGTCCCGCTCTTCTAGAAGATGGGCAGCGTAACAACAAAATTGCGCCTATCCGAATGTTACAGTCGCAATCGGGTTACCTGACTACAAACCGGCTGTATATTACCTATCCTAATTCATAGAAATTATATCTATTAAATTGTTTTTGATTTGATTATTTTTATAAAAAAATACTAAATATTAACAATGGAGCGGAGAGGATGGATTTGGTTTATCCTTTTAAAAGAGCAGCAATATACTGTGTCTTTTGAAATGTTAGTTACGTTTGACTAATCTGACCACTAACCGACTGTATATTACCAGCCTAATTCATAGAATTTCACGTATTGAATTATTTTGTCCTTTTCTTTCGAATTATGTTTTCATAAAAAGAGTGGCTCTAATAGTGGAGCTACAACTACGCCTATCCAAATGTTAGTTGCATTCGGGTAATCTGACCATTATTCTAATCCTTAATCCTTAAACAATAAATAAATAATACTTTATTTATTTTTCCTAACAAATACATGTAGTAGCATATTTATTATGTAGGAGGTTATAATTCGCGTATTTTTAATTGTTTCCTATTTATGTAAATTCATAGCTACGGTGGTCGAGTGCATTGTGATCGTTCACGAGGCAAAAAAATCACACGGAGTGTTGTGTAGAAGCCATTCCCTTGCCTTGTTGGTGCCAATACGCTTCACGTGACTCTAGTATGTTGCGTAGACGCACTGCCACGACATCCAATTAAAAACACAAAAACAAGCACACCAAAACACAAAAAGCCAATTACGAAATAAAAACGATTTTGAAAATCGAAGCTTGTTTTGTATGTGGAACAAAATATTCTAAGAACAATTACTAACGTAGAATGCTTATTGGAATAACAACTAAACAATATACATTTGTAGCGTTTTGTCTTATGGAACCACTAATATGTGAGAAGAGATAGGATATACAGATGTAAATTCGAAATTTCGAAGGTCTTAATGACCAATAGAAAATACATAGTAGATATACGTATATAATTGAAATAAGAAAACACTGACATAATCGAACAAGGTTCGAAACTAGAGAAAACCTTCGAAATTTTGAATTGACATTTCTATATACGTACTCTTCTAACTCATTAATACTGCCATAAGACAAAATGTAATGAATATATTGGATTATTGTTATATCAATCAGGAGTGAACGTTAGTTGATGTTGTTAGAGAACAACAGAGAGCGTCGACGCAACTGTCACCTATGTGTACGCACCCAATTTAATGCCCACTTTAGAGACGCTGCGGCTCCTGCGGCCGGCGGGGGTCCCCGAGGTCCCGCTAGCCGCCGCCCCCGGTTTGCTCGGTGCCGACGGCGACCGCCCGCCCCGAGAGGTCGACCTAACTCTACTACTAGTCGCTCTACTCAACGGCAAACCTACCGAAAAAATGTTGCTACTAAACAATTTTGGCTCGCGAGACATGGCTCTAATCATTCAGTCTAGTATTTTTAAAGCGAATAAATAGTAAATTTCATATAAGTATATACCAGAACCCCTAAAGTGCCGCTACCAAGCTAGGAACCTGATTGTTCCAACTTTAACAGTAACACTTGAAAATATATTAGGTCAAGGGGTATTGAGTTGCAAAATGACAGATCTATTAAATTCTAAAATCATGACAAAATGCCACCTGGAAAATATGCAATTATTAACTGTGGATATTTTTTTAGAAAGAATTACACAGTTATATTATTCTAATAACCTATAACTAGGATGTATAGACATCCTTTGCTTGCGCCGACTTTTAAAAAAATACTAAAGAGTAGAAAACAATAAAATAATGTTGCCATTAATAAAAAAGAAGAATAGGAAAAGGATATATTTTTTTAATTAAATGTTACGCTTTGATTTCATCAAAATAGAGCCAATTCTCGTAGTTATAAGCCACATAAGGGGAGGGACATGCACCAATGGGAATTACAACAATAATATAATTAGCTAATTCTATTACATTAATAGACATTAATACAGATATAATGTATTACAAGACAAACATACAGAACATTAGAGATACAGAGATACTAATAGAAAAATAGTAATCAGATAGACAAAAAATAATATTAAAAATTTTGTAGGACTAAGTAATTAATTAATAATAAATATATATTAATATAAGTTTTAATCAATTAGTTTTAATGATTTAATAATTAACACTTAAGTCTAATGAAATTACTTTATTAGATTAATGCGTTGTTTTTGATATTAAGTACCCTAGGCTGCTCAATGCGAATGTCAGAGTGATATAAAAAGTTATTTTATTTTTTTTATTGGACATTGGCGAAAAGCCTTCACCCAAAAAACACAAAGAAACACTAAAACTGTATACAGTAAAAAATAATAATTGGCAGATGAATATCATATGATTTTTTAACAATAAACAATTCTGAAAACTATAACATGATATAACAAGATGTTTAGGGTAATGTAAGTTTATTATTTTTAGACGTACTTTTTTATGTTTAAGAGATAGATTATTATATAGACTATCTTTTGTCATGCACTGACTTTTGCTTATCATTTTAGTCTTAGATATATTTACTAGAAAATTTTCTATACATATAAGCATAATAAAAAATTTACATATGCCACCGCCAGTGGACCTAAGTTAGGTTACAGCACTACAGTTAAGAAACATTATTATCATTACGTTCGTAGGCCGTTGGTAAATATATTATTATGGCAATAAAGAATAAATAGGAATAAAAGATATTTATTTGGTAGTAGATTATTATAGTAGATTATTACTAATATGTAAAATAAAATTTACTCTGGCAACCCCTACACTCCATACCACTTCTATACCACAGTACTGATTAAATTTAATAATGTAATGAGCAATCATACAATATTTTATTTTTGATTTCATAAATACACGAATGCTCATTAAATTATAGGTCTCATTACAAGAAGAAAGAGCAAGATACTTGCGTGGTGTTCTTTTAAATAATAGTTGTAACTTTACTTTTTAATGTTAAAATATGTGTTTTTTTATTTTAATTGGGTCAACAAACAGTAATACAATGTCAATTATTTAATTAATATTATCTCTTATTGTACCACCAATACCGTTAACCATTTTTTTTATTTATTACAAACATCAAATATAATTTTGTTTAAAAAAAATCAAATTGAATGAATATTTTTATTAATGTAGGTCTATTACAGACTCTTATGATATGTCAAATCTACCGTCAGTTCGGAATGGTTTCGAGATGAGAAGAACTGACAAAAAACTCAGCGCTTATTCTTTTCAAATAAGCTTGTATATGTTTACAAAAATAGAGATTCATTCATACATATTATGATATATATATTATATCTTTCTTTATGGATTATTTGTGTACAATTTTTAAACAATCTTAACGCCATTGCTATGGCCAAACACATGATACTATGTTTTAATTGTCTTTAATAATTACTAAAATTTTCCTTTGTTCAAAGTTCCTTTGGTCATACTACGTGTTCAAACACATCCAAACTATCTTGAACCGTATCTTCTATTTAGTAGCAGGGTAATAGGGGTCTTGTTATACTGGTTTATCGAAATTTAAAAGAATCAGAATTTAATATTTTTATGTAAATAAAATATAGTTCAAACACATCCACACTATGTTGAACCGTATCTTCTATTTAGTAGCAGGGTCTTGTTATACTGGTTTTTTTAAATTTAAAATAATCAGAATTGAATTAAAATTTTTATTAAAATAAAATGTAGTGGGATTGATCGGAGTATTTATACGTTAGCATGTAAATAGAGTAGGGAGATGTGAACTCACCGGTAGGCTTCATGGGCCTGGGATGAGGCTCGTGTCCGTTGGGAATGCTCTTGGCGGAGTGCGCAGGCGCAGGCGCAGGGTCGGCGGAGCGCGGCCGCCTCCGCGGAGACCGGAACGCATTCTCACCCACCTTCGAAGCTGAAATATGATCCACGTAACATTGTACCTTCACCTTTACATATTTTGTCAGTCATACTCGTGAACTTGTATTAGGCACATTGATTTTAGAAGAAAATGTCTAATCCATCACATTTAAAATAAGTATTCCTGTTGCTAAATAACAGTTATATGTAACGTGCAACTGTGATCAAAACAAGGTTAAATTACATTTGCTGCAATATACATTCACTGGATATCTCCATCAACGCTGCTTGTATGAACTTGTCTGCTCTACCACTGATTCCATATTTTGACTCTAATCAGTTAGTAGTAGTTGGTTGTTTGTATTCACACATTTCTACTTAAAAATGTAAAGTTACAATTCTTTAAAAGAGCAACGTATATTTCTAGTTCGTTCTTCTTGTGATGGGACAGCTTTCTGAATTAGCGGTAGATTAAAAAATAAGGATGACTTATTGAAATGTAGTTAAATATAAATTAATTTGAATAAGGGGTTTTCTATTCTATTCTATTATCTAGGAAAGCCTCGGCGGTTAACGGTTTAGCACACTGTACTTCCTATGGTCGCTTGTTCGATTCCTCGCACGGTGCAAACACTTGTATTCATGAGTATGATTGTTTGTATCGGTCTGGGTGTATCCTATGCATATTATGTATGTATTTGCAAAAAAATATATAATTTTTATATCAGTTGTCTAGTACTCATAACACAAGCTTTGCTTAGCTTGGGACTAGATGGCGTTGTTTGAATTGTCGAGGTATATTATATTGGGTTGACATTTTAGGTTGTCCTTTAATAATTTGCCATTCCATTTAGTAAAAAATAAGGGTTGAATTACCTTCCTGGGTAGCACCTTCATCAAAACTATGTCCTTGGAGCTTCTTCCGTTGTTTTTGGGGGGAAGTCTTATGGGGCGATCGTTCCTGAGCCTTCGTTTCCTGGATCTTTGCATGGATGGACTGATGAGGAGCCGAGCGGAAAGACCTGAACTTCTTAGGCGAATGATTCTTGGAGTCCTTGCCGTCTTTCTCGTCCCGGGGTAGGGCTCTGCGGAGTAGATATGGTAGATCTTAGTTGGAAATTGTTGAATTTGAATATTCTGTTTCAATTTGAACTTAAATGGGTACAGTTTTAATTATCTGATTATAGTGAACAAATATTGTAAATGTCGTAATAGGTTAGAGTGTTGTTATTTTTGGTGTAATTGTTGTTTTTTTAATTTAGGCTCATGTTTTATTAGTTTTTGTCTATTGTTATATTTTAGCAGTCGTTTTATTTATTTATTTTTCATAAGAGTGTACGTTGGTCATGTCACTATGACTACATGACAGGCGGCCTCAATGGTCTAGCGGTTTAACTCACTGCTTTGCTTCCGATGGTCGCTGGTTCGATTCCTCATACAGTGTAAATATTTGTGTGGTCTTGGTGTTTTCTATGTCTATTATTTTCTGTATTTCCAAAAAATATATCAGTTATCTAGTACCCATAACATAAGATCTGCTTAACTTGGAATTAGATGACTCTGTGTGAATTGTCTAAGGTTATTATTTTATTATTATTGTTATTGTGTTGTTGTTTTGTGATTTACTCTTGAGCTGTCGATAAATTGCCAACTGCTTAGAATATAACCTATTACTTTTCTATTTCTAATATAGCTACGTTAAATTGGTAAATTCTTCGAGAAAGTTCGTATTTGAAATATTTCCCTCATAACATTCTTAGAAAAGATATACTTGTATAGGTTTAATCTGGTTTTCTGTATATTTAAATATATCTAGTAGTAGTTTAATGTTAATGTTATACAAGCTGTTTAGTTTCCGTTTAGACAGGGCTGTGTGATATGTTCAGGGGTATTGTTTTATTTATTAAATTTCTATTAACAAACAGTGTATTTATCCATTTTCATTGTTTTGAAGTAGCATATAATTATATTCCAGTTATGATTTAAAATAAATCATAAATGTACGATAGTATTTTAAGAATAAAATAACATAATTATAAAAATAAAACACATCATATTATAGTGTATAATATAAAGCAAAAAATACATAATTATATTCGAAATGGTCGCCATTTCACTTTCAATACTTATATACTATGAGGCTGATGATTGTAACTAAACTACATACTTTGCATGTATAAAATGGCTTCTTGTGCCATACAAGCCATTCTTTGCTTTGCATCAGCCTGTTATGCTACTATCCTATGACATTAAAGAAGATTAAACAATCCGGCTCGAAGGACCAAAAAAAATTTGAAAGCCATATTTTCTTAATTACCATTTCGCTTCCAAAACCGTACCTTAAGTATAGCCTTTTAATAATTTTATTAATATTTTTTTCTGGTCCTTCGAGCGGGATTTCTAATCGACTTTAAATAATCCCGAGTGCATCACTTACTTGTGATTGGTGGAAGCGAGTGATAGGGCAGACAACGAGGACCGTCGGGACACCTGGTACCAGAGCTCGATTTGCTTATTGTAAAGCTGTGTGATGTGTTCTGGAGCCAGTTCGGTTCCCCAGCCACGGTACTGTCGAATAATGGCAATTTTGAGAATGAACGAAGCATGATCATGAGTGAATACGACTAGGATATTTGGAAAAATGGGTGGGAAAAAAAAAGTTGCATAATAATCTAAAACTGGATTAGCAAGTTCAATAACTTGACAATTGACAAGTAAGAAAATAAATTGAGGATTTTTAGGTTATAATCTGTAAATGATAGAGGCATTGTTGGGTTTTCGTTGTAAATTATAAATTCTCGAATTTGCCACTTTATTCTTCCAGTCTATGTGATGAGATACAGGTTACCTTTACAGCGATTGTTGACCGCCATCACTGGATCTCATTACATGTCTGGATTTCAATTACGTGTATAATTTCCCCCAGTCAGTTCTGTGGCTATGTATCTCAAAGACAAAGATTATTTGTCTTTCTTGCCTCGGTATTTACGTTTGTTGCTATTCTATTAGAGTTGAGTTCAATTGACCGCAGACCTTGTATTCGCCGGCGCGCTTGCGCAGGTCCAGCACCTCGCGGTACCAGGAGTCCCCTTGCGAGAGGCCCAGCGACTGCAGGCCGGCCGCGCGCAGCGTGGTGGCGTCCTCCCCCGCGCCCGCTCCCGCTCCCGCCCCCGCGCCCGCGTTCGAATTCGCTACCCCGCCCGCCCCCGTGCCTACATTCTCCCCCGCGCCACCCTGTGTCTCACCCAGCATCCTCTCGCTCGCCTCCTCATTCGTCTTCCCTTTCCCCCTGCATTTTGTAAATGTCCCTTTAGACGCCTCGTACACGTACTGAGAGAACGGTCTAAATTTCTTTTTGTACTCGCTTTTGTAACGTTTCCTATTATCTTTGGAACGATCCTCGCCGTTGGATATGAGGGCCGATAGCGCGCTACGGAACGTCGATTTTCTGCAAAATTTCATTTCAAGTCTTAGACGCTTGGATTTTCTTTACGATGATGATGCGGCAAAAGAAATAGCTCGCGCCGAGCCAGGTTAGTAAGGTAGACATGCTTCAAATAATTGTCAAGCTCGCAATGGTGAGGTTAGGATGTTGAGACGTAGAAGAGTCTAGGAACTAGACAGGCCGACCGACAAACAGTGCGGGCTCGTGCCCGGTGACTCGCTCAACTAAATTTAAAGTAGTGTCAAGAAGTGTTTGGGTGATACATCGACAATACAATCTAACAAAAACCAATATGAACGTTCACATCGACAAGTGCAGGACACATTGAAATTTGAAAAAGTATCTATTAGCGGACATTCCGAACTATTCTTGGCTAAGTCTACTCGGCCTACACACCGCCACCGTGAGGAGAAATGTAAGCAAATATCAAAAACGAAATTTAGACTTTGTTCTGCTCTAGTATATAATTGAAATTGAAATGGACGCAGAACATGTGCATGAAAGAAACTTTAAACGTTTTTAATTTTCATCAAAGGGCATCAACGGTATATAGAATTGAATCATTCATGGAATTAAACAATTAGATTTTATTAAACCAACGTTGAATGATAAGATAGTAGATGTTCACAACAATGAATTTGTAACAGTAAACAATATTATAATTACGTATACAAAATCATTTCAATGTCTACATTTGTCAACATTTTAGAATTGTAGTAATTTATTTGCGAGAGGTTGCTCATTAGCATATTAATGAATTCTGAAGTTGCATTTCAATAGAGCGTAACACTTAAGAACTTCTATCAAAGGAACATCTCGCATAATTTCAAGAGTACGAATAATTATTTCATGTCCGTATTTTATATACACATTCACCTACATATTTCATGTATGATTCGCTTCTGGATTTTTTAATTACTTTAGAGATAGTTGTTTTATAGTTTCCTTCATGGTTTGGTTAGTACACAAAGCTAGACACAGAAAAATTGAAAGCTATTAGCATTAATTCCATTCAAAATATTCTATCAAATTCAAACAGTCTTCAACCTGAAAAGTTTACGGAATCCAAAACATTATTATTTATGGAAACATTATATACAGATAACTATTATTTAGTTTTCAAAATATCTAAGTTTTTGCATATGAAGTCCGGAATTTCACGGATTTGCAACTGGCACTTTTATAAGTATGTAAAATTATTTTTAACAATTATAACAATATGTAACATATATTTGTTGTAACATTTTGTCGTGTAACATGAATGTCGATTGGGTATATTTTGGACCCCAATACCATGGTGTTAATGACATCATTTGCGAAAAAGCCGCTGCTCTTAGCTGAAGCGAAGCGTGAAATGTAGATAGATAACGCTTCAAAGTGTATCGTGATTAATTATAGACTGTTTCTAAATATTTATAAAACGATTTCTTAATTATAAAATCAGTTCTGTGTGGAGAAGATAATAAATCAAGGCATGCTTATAAAAATAAAATTGTAGAAGATAAATCGACGAAACAATCTATAATAATTTATTAACTAGAAGATTAAATATAAGAAGCATTGTATGATAAATATGATAAAGCTGAAGCTACGTTGAGTTCAGAAACTTTTTACACTGATAATAATATAATAATTATTAATACAAAACAAAAACAAAATATAGTAAATAGATTCTGAACGAAAAAAGATTAAATCGATTTAATGTCTACTTCAAACGCCGAATAGGGTCTTATAAATGTACGAAATAATTTCTAAGATGTACTTTTATTTATGGTGCTATTAAGTAAAGGAAATACAACATTTAATTGGTAATAAAACTGTTGATATTAGAAATAAAGTAGTACTTCTAAAGTAATAGCTGTTATGATGTTAATTATATACATAAGTCTGAGTACTATATATGATAGAAGCCTAATTTTCAGGACTAGATTTTTATAACAATAACCAATTGGTATTTTTTTATCATTATTGCCTACAGACGGAGAAGTAAGGTTTAAACAGACATAAATCGAAATAGATGATGTATCTACATGAATTATTACGACAAAAAGTAAAATACAGAAAGCTTAGATAGCAATCAATACCGATTCATTGAAACTATGGCACTTGTACGGTATACTTAACATATTATAATTATAATAGGTATTAACGGATGATTTGTAAAAGACAGAGATAGAACTATACATTATAGGAATGGTAGAAACAAAAGCAAATATATGTTTATTGCTTTCTTTATAGTCATTAATGCTCATGGTTTTCTACACAGATTACAAATAAGAGATGTCTTGATTAAACATTGAAAAATAGTGTTAAAAGATGTTTTATTATCTGTCAAAATTTTGAGAGTAGCTAAGGACATATGATCTGTGATTGATGTCTATGGTTAGATTTTATTTTTAGAACAATTTCTACTTTAAGATTTACTTATTTTAAATGAATATACAAGTCTGTTCAATACGTTTCATTATATAAAAATAAATAAGTATGAAAACAAGAATAAACACACAGGCTTCAAGGCTTCAAGCAAGCCTTTTGAAAAATCGTTAGTGCGAAAAAGTGATAAACAAAATGCATTTATTGTAGTCGCATCATCTTTCAATTTATGTCTGCATAAATTCAGCAGGATGACCTAAATTGATTCCTATACCTATTGATTTAGAGACCAATGGCCAATGAAATAGATTAATCGATTGATAACGGTAAAGTGAAAATTTCGCGACCCACCTTTGCACTCCCGGCTTCTGCCCGTTCCAGAGGTAATCTTCGATGTACCTCTTGTGACCATCGTCGTGGTCACCGTCTACGTGGTTCATGAGCGGCTCCGCTTCGACTGATCCTGCAATTTATTATATACTTAATGCTATTAGAATGAAGGCATCTATTCATTTGTTAAATTGATTAAAAATTGCTTTATCGTTTTTATATGACCTCAGTGGTCTAGTGGTTTAAAATACTGCCTTACTTCCAATGTTCGCGGGTTTGATTCCTTCCAGGATGCAAACATTTGTATTCATGAGGACGATTATATGGGTCTGTGAGTTTTATAAAAAAATGCATTTCCATATTTCTCTCCATTTCTAGTACCCACAAGGTAAGTGATTAGCTTGGGACTAGATGGCGTTGTGGAAGTTATCCGATATATTGTTATGAAAAAAGTATTGATTTCAGCTTAATGCCTGATTTGAATCAATTTTGGAAATGCACATGAATTTCCATAACTGTTTGTCGAGTCCGTATAATCAGTAATGCAAATTGTATATTTAGCAATACAAATACATGTTGATATTAAATCTATACATGTAAATAAAATTGGAGTGTCTGTTTGTAATAACCGTTTTTTACTACATGCATATGAATATAAATACGGTACATACACCAAATTAACATTTTTTACAATTTTTGTCTGTCTGTCTGTTTAACTGATTTTGACAGATAGAATTGGCAGATAGCTGATGTAATAAAAAGTAACTTAGGCTACTTTTATGTCAGAAAAAATTAACATATTTGTTAAATTCCACGCGGACGAAGTCGCGAGTACAGCTAGTTTCAAATAAATGTATCAAACAAAATATTAAATACTAATACTAAAGACGAATTTACCGCTAGTATAAATAGAACAGAACAAAACTTCTTTATTCAAATAAACATAAATTTAAACAGTTTTGAATAATCATACTTATTATTTCAATGTACATTACTACGTTCCGAAAGTATAAATCATAAAGAAAGATTATAATATACAATAAATAATAAACGTGGCGTATCAAATAGTTCAACGCTCAGCATATGCCGTGACTGACTATAGAATTGGAATATCTGTAAATCATAGTAATTGGTTGAAAAATACAGTCACACTAAATAATAGGCTGAACGATGGTAAGCGATTTAGACTTTCACTCGTATCTAGACTGATGATTGGAGGTCAGACTAGTCTGGTTAATATAAATTTATTGTTACGAGTTGACGATTATTTTGAACTATATTAAAGTTGTCTAGGCAATTTTTATTTCTTTCATAAATTATTTAAAATAATAATAATCTCAGGACAATTCACATAGCGCCGTCTAGACCCAAGTTAAGCTAATTAAGCTCGTGTCATGGGCACTGGATAACTGATACAAATACTATATAGATATTTTTTTTCGTAAATACATACATATTATACATAGAAAACACCCAGAGCGATACAAACAATCATACTCATGAATACAAATGTTTGTGTCATGCGAGGTATTGTACCGTCGACCATTGGAAGAAAGGCGATGTGCTACACCGCTAGACCACATAATTTCTATGTATATGTATATTATATTAACTATATTTTATGAATCTTTGAAAATATTAAGTGTTATATTCATGGTACTGGTCAGTCAGTCAGACAGTTATTTACTGAATGCAAATGAATTAAATTTCCTACATTCATACTATGTGAAATTCCAGACTGTTTTTCTTAGCGAGTAATGATTTAAAATGTAATTTTTTATTTCAAACTTAAATTTAACCAATTTTGAATAGTCATACTTATTTTCGAAACTACAATCAATCTGAAAGCTCAATCGGAAAGCTGTCTCATCACAAGAAGAACGATCTAAAAATTTGCATGTTACTTTTTAAAAGAACTTGTAACTGTATATGTTTAAGCTAAAATGTGCGAAGACAAACTACCAACTAGCACTAATTAATTAGACTCAAAATATTAAATACCCAACCAACTAGTTCAGTAACTAAATAATAGCAAATTAGTCGACGTAATAAGAGGAAACCACTCCCTACAAGCGGCACTCGTTCATGATTTTTTTTTTCGGACTACTCTAATGCTGTTGGCCCCATCTGGCCTTTACAGCTTCACCGGACGTTAGGGGGCGAGTGCAGATGGCACTCCAAACCAAGGAAGGATTCATGGAGCGGCTGAAGGCCAACTCCTGCCTGACGGATACGACTTTAGTCTGAGGGCACCACTAGCGGTTCGAACCTCGGCTCAATCCGTCGTAATATCGGACCCCGTTGAATTGGACGGGGGATCGATCGGAGGGGACTCGTTCACGAGTATGACAGATAGATTGCATCAGAAGATGAATAAAGGCTATATTTATCTCAAAAAATATATTCTTGGTACAAAAAAGATAAGTAATAGGTCAGGAAAACTAGAAGAACTCGCGGATAACATCTTACTAATATTAATAAACGCGAAAGTTTGTGAGTATTCATGGATGTTTGTTACTCTTTCATGCAAAAACTACTTTATGATCTATATATCTTATACAACAGAATAACACATAGGCTATAATTTAAAGTAATTATGAGAATTGAGCGAAATATAATGATAAATATAGAACACAGTTACCTAGTATATATCAATGGAATAATTGCAATTAATAATGGCTAGTAAAACAAACTCAATATTGTCTACTAAGCACTGTCGTGTCCAAACTGTGTCACCCCACCTTACACTTTGCTATTGTTATTTAGTATATAAGATCAATATTTTTATGTACATTATTTAGTTTATTATTTGTAATATACATCGTCTCAACCGACAACATCGTATTATTACCCCGCAATAATAAATGTCAAGTTTGATGCAGACGAAGTTGCGTGCGTCAACAAGTATAGTATACAGTGGTGCAGTTAGGTAACCAAGGGTTCTGGAGCAAATTAAAAAATGCGTTACTTACCTACATTACAGTTTTATTAAAACGCAAATATCGCTATCCGTCATATTGACAACACATTAACCACAGAAAGAATTTAGGGGAGTTCCGAAGGTATAAGTTTCGAATTTCTCTCAAGTGAGTTGACATGATTAAAGTCGGATTGTAACGTGGCATATTTATTGTTTTGTATTAGCACAGATTATTTAGAATTAGCACTAATGCCGCTTAAAAAAATATTACCTTTCACAATGCTGACGTATTATTATACATATATATGTATTACAATTATATATTAACCGAAACCTTATATATTATTTATGTACAATTTATGTATGTCTATATATTTATATATTTGTGTATGTTTATTCCTTCTTATAGTGTGACTTATTAATATTTATATAATTTTAATGTCTTCCTTTCCCTTTTTTTCTTCTCTTTTCTCGTACACGTATGTATGGCTGATCTAATGACCAAATTATCCTATAACATTTTCTAGGTTTGCTGGAAGAAATCTCTTTTTAGAGATAAGCTCGCCCTTGTACATTACTTTTATTTTATTACTGCTATTTTTTTTTCCTGTGTGTGTACAATAAAGAATAAAGAATAAAGAATTAGAAAAACCACCAAAATAACTGAAAGACAATTGCACTTGTTAACTTGTATATTGAGAAGGGCGTGTGATGAGCATGTACCCACACACAAGCACCATTCCAACCCTTGCTCGTTTCCTGCCAGCAAACATCATACGGCAATAGGCAACTCCCGTATGTGGGGCTCTGTACATCACTTCCTCCAACCTTGTACATATACATTACATTTATGTCGAAAATAAGAGAAATTTTGAAAAGTTCAGTTCGATCGAGATTTTCTGGTAAGGGTTCTAGGGCTCCCTGAGCTTGAGGGCCCCGGGACACTACCCCGCCTAGCCCCTAGGTAGCTACGCCATTGATAGTATAATATATTGTTAGGGTTCACATCGATATTGTCGAAAAATCTGATATTTTATATTAAAAGAAGGTAGTTTCATTATTACTCTGTATCGTTAAACTAGTTGCATATAACCCCCACTGATATCTTCTCTGTATAAAAGGGAGGGTTTTTGTAGGCCGCGGCATCGTATCCGTCGGGCAGGAGTTGGCCTTCAGCCGCTCCATAAGTCCTTCCGCGGGTTTGGAGTGCCATCTGCACTCGCCCCATAACGTCCGGTGAAGCTGTAAAGGCCAGCTACGGCCAACAGCATTAGAGTAGTCCGAAAAAAAAAAAAGGCCGCGGCATTCGGTCTTTGAGCACAGGATGTGCTGGTTGTATTTGAATTGTGTTAGAGACATAGTTATATAGTTGTTATTTTATTATAATACATACAATACATAGAGTTGATATTTCTAACAATATATGTTCCTTGTTAGGTAAGAGAACAATATCTACACATCGTTAGGGAAAGTAACACAGTCGAGAATATGAGTTTGCGAATTTTTAAACAAAAGCCTGCAGTATGTTTTACCACACAAAGCAGCTCCCACTTGCCGACTCAGCACGCAGAGACAAAACCTTTTTCAGTATTATGCAACATACGAAAATAGATACTTTTGTCTAGTCGTATGCTAGCGAGAAAATGGAGGATTAAAACCCAGCAGTTGGTGGATTATGTGTATACACATAAATAAAATAGAAATATCTGTTTGTAAATTCAAATAAACAGATTTTCACTAAACACATACGTATATGTGTGCAACTTACATAAAAAAATTATGTAGGTAATAAACTTTTGTCTGACTTAAGTATTAAGCTTGGCTATTTCTAGGGGAAGTAAAACATTTCATAATTTAACCCAAAAAAGCCATAGGAAAAATATTTCATCGTTCTAACTTCAAAAATGTCCGTAGAAATTTAATGTCATATATAATCAACAGCCAATAAGTTTCAAGTTATAAAAATGACGATACATCCATACAACCTTTCATCTCCCCTTTCAACGCTGTCTCTGCAATAAAAAGTAGCCTAAATCTTTTGGGTTATGGCTTATGGGTTTAGACTATCTGAATATCAAATTTCATTTAAATCTGTTCAGTAGTTTTGGCGTGAACAGACAGACAGAGTTATATTCGCATTTATAATATTAGTAGAAATTTTTAGGAAGTTTAACGGTAAAATTTTACTATTTACATGTTACTGATCATATTGAATTATCCTATACCAATTTAAGAAATAGAAATAGAAATAGAAATAATCTTTATTCAAATAAACTCATTACAAGCACTTTTGAATAGTCATATTTTGATTCTACCACTCATTCGGAATGCAGATTCATCACAAGAAGAATGAGCAAGAAACTTGTGTGTTGCTCTTTTTAATAGATGTTTTTTTTATATAAATAATTACAGTATAACAAATAAGAGGCATGCGATAATCAACATAGAAGTCGCTACGCACTCATTATTAAGAATTTTCGTCAATAGTAAACCAATATATTAATACAAAAAAATTACGTTCATAAACGGCTAAAATGTCCTACAAGAATAAATTATTTTTGATTTGATTTGATTTGATATGATTGGACTTCATCACTAACCTTCAGCGACGGCGGCCTTCTTGAGAGCCCCCATGGAGATGCTCTTCCTCGGCGCGGAGTCCGTGGTGTCTTTAGGCCACGCGAACTGATTTCGGTACTCCGTGCTCACTATATCAGGCTCCTTGGAGGCCACCACCTCTCCCAGGGCGTTGGTTGCCTTTGAAAAAGTATAACAATTTCAAAGCGAGTAATAAAAATGTTGTGTTCATAGTACGTATTCATAAAAGTGGCCAGATAGATATCAATTCTAAATTGATTATATAACAGAATGCATATAGAATTTGTAGTCAAAATAATAACCTCAGGACAATTCACACAGCGCCATCTAGACCCAAATTAAGCTAGCTGAAGCTTGTGCTATGGGTACTAGATAACTGATACAAATACATATATTAGTTTTTTTCGTAAATACATACATATTATACATAGAAAACACCCAGACCGATACAAACAATCATACTCATGAATACAAATGTTTGTGCCGTGCGAGGAGTCAAACCCACGACCATCGGATGTAAAGCGGTGTACTAGACCGCTATACCATTGAGGTCGTTAAAATGTAATAACTATATACTAGTTTATCTATAAAAATGTAAACTAAAATGTCGCTTCATACAGAACTACCGACGCGTCCCGGCTTCGCACAGATGTATTACAAAAGTTTGAATTTCTCGGCTTGTTCTATACTATAACATACATATAAACTATAGGTTTAAGGTTTTTATAACGTTTATATAATACGTTAAGATACAGACAGCGACAGCGACTGAAGCGTCAGTTTGATAAACATTGTTTTATGTTACGTATAGATATATGTCGATGTTGGGTTATTATATTATGTGGAATAAGTTATTGATCATATGCTATTGACATATAATCACTAAATAATAATATAGGTAATATAATTTCTACAATTGTATAATATATGTATATGCTATCTAAAAAACAGAATTATGTAATTATTTACAGATAAATTTTTGCATGTCTTCATATAAAGCGGATTGTATGGTACTATATGTACCTACTTTATAAGCTCTGTGCACACCACATTCCTCGCAAAATAAACAATTTCATTTTATTTTATTTAATTTCAGTTCATTTAATTTAATTTAATTTTATGTCGCACTGGTGTCTTACGCGCGTTTAAGACTGCTTGTCCCAATCCTTTCTTCATATAAAACGTTCTACTACGAACATTTTCTAGAATAACTATTTGGATGATATTGGTCACTAGGTTTTGAGAGCGATATATGAAGTTACTGCTGAAATTTCCGGAATGGCAACACTGAATGCCCCACAGTTCAGGCGTCACTTGACAACGTGATGATATGTTTTTTTCATTGAGGGTGTTTGTGACATAACTTTGTGTGTAACAATATATATATTTAATAATGATTTATATATATATATATATATATATATACACATTTTTATTATTTATATATAAATAATAAAAATGAATTATTTTAGATTAGGTATATATTTAATATAGGTACGTGAACTGCCATTCTTACACTACTATGAAATCAATGACAATTATAGAGTAAATAGACAATTAAAAAGTTATGTCATAAACAGAGGGGTTTGTGTTTTAGACCTACACTACGACCTGCAGAGATCTATTGTACTCACCCACACTCAAAGTTTCGTCCTAGACCCATCAGAAACAAGAATTAAAGAATATTCCTTAGGAGCGATGGTTTTTACCTCCTCAGGATATAATGTACTTTCGAAAGAAGCAATATTTTTATAGCATTGAAATGCTTAAACGAAACGACATGATGATGTGATGCTGTCCGTGTATTAACGACGGTTATCACTTAACATAAGGTGTGCCGTCGTTTGTTTGCCCAGTAACATATAAAAAAAAGAAGTAAATACCTTCGGCTCCACGGTGTCGGTCCACCGCGGTTGCCGAGGTCCCTCTGACTTGCTGCGCCGGCCCGCGCGGTCCGCGTCATTCCTCTGAGTACTCTGTTGACATATACCACAGAGCAATTATTTTTAGCTAAAGCTTATGTTATGGGTCCTAGACAACTGATACAAATACATAGATAATTTTTTTTTTTCTTTTTTTTTTTTTTCGTAAATAAACATATTATACAATTAATCATGAATACAAATGTTTGTGCCGTGCGAGGAATCGAACCCGCGACCATCGGTCGTAAAGCGGTGTGCTTGACCGCTAGACCACCGAGGTCGTCACAAATTAGCACTTTGTATTCTGCAATTGAGACATAATAATCCTATTAACTTATGTTTTTTTTGTTTTGATTAAACAATTAATCGAGGGGAAAGGGTTGTTAGTAATGTGGATTAATGACCTTATAGAAAACCATGTCGTGTCAGACATGGTTCTGATGATGGTTTTCTAGCGATAGGCTAACTGACCTGACCTCATGTTCATCTTATCATCTTTCATTAGTGCCCTGCCAGCGTAAACCGTTAGCCCAAAGCACCATTCTTTCACCATCCATTAAAAATAACCTATATCTTTATTTTAATACAAAAAGTTTGGTTACACTACTTTGATGTGTAGCTAAGGGGGCGGAATCTCAGAAACCATTATGTTATGGTATTAATTTCACATGCCAGCATTTGTTCCTATAAATGTGATATTGACCTTGACCTTTACGTTTCATTGAATGAAAGGTAAATTCGTGAAAGTTTTCACCTAATGGATATTGAGCGGTAAATTTGTTTTCGTGTAAACAAAATAAATAAATGGGTAATTAATTTCCCCTTTTCCATTTGGTGACGGGGCAAGGGTCTGTAAATGGTATAAAATAATTATATTCGTCTGTTTGTTTATTGCATTCGGTCGATAGGTGATATAAGTTAGTAGCTTACGCGATATAGAAGCTGAACATCTTAGTCACATTATAACTTAACTAGATGACCCGCGTAACTTCGTCTGCATCACACTTACTCAATTTACGTTATATCTTTTTAAATGATAGCCTATGTGTTATTCTGATATACAAGCTATATTACTGTGAAGTGTTATCAAAATCCGTTCAGTAGTTTTTGCGTGAAAGAGTAACAAACATCCATCTATACTCACGAACTTTCGCGTTTATAATATTATTAAGATGTTCATGATAGCGATCTTGATGGTGTTCCATTAATTGGGCCATCCTTGTTCGCCATTCAAAAGTTACTTCTTTGTTTGTTTACAATAAAATGTAATATAAGAAGGGAATACAATGAAGTTATTCATAAAATCAGTACATAAATTATTATCGAATAAACTTATTATTTATTTTATTAATTAAAATACAATGCACAAATATATAACTAAAAGTGCATGTGATGGTAGTGCTTAACACTTGAAGTATTTTCTCCCAGTCAACCATAGAGCAGACAGAGATTATGTGGGCATTATCAATGCCCAAATTAAAATGTAAAATAAAAAATATTTTTAAATCTGATTAAATATACATACATATTTAAATGAAATTTGGTACTATGATGGTCTAGACTAGATAGCCTAGCCTACTAGACCCTGAGAAATGACATAGAGTAATTTTTAAAGCGAAAAAAAGGGTTCTAAAGGGTTGTAAAGGGAGATGAAAGGTTGTATGGAAGTATCGTCATTTTTTAAGCTAGAAACTTGAAACTTATTTAGGCTGTTGTTTAGATATAAATAAATATTACATCTTTTTGTAAAAAAATATCCTTAACGGGGTAAAATAAAATAAGGGAATGAAAGTTTGTATGGAAATTCGTCATATTTGAAACTAGTACGATGAAACTGTTTTCTTTGGATTTTTTGGGATAGAATATTAAATATTCTCTCTTGTTTTGGACAAAGTTAATTCACGCGGATGAAATCGCGGGCGCTAAGCCCGTAGTATTATTTAAATTTGGTATAAAAGGTATTAGACTAGTTCCGAGAAAGATATTTTAGGAATATAGAATTTGGAAATGTGAAAAGGGGAATTTGGAAGCGCTGGATTTAATGTTAAAGGATTATGTTAGTAATTTTGAATTTGAAAGTGGGAAATGAGAATTTGAAAGCGCTGGATATATAATAATATTAAGGGATAGCTTGTGTTGTTGAAATTAATCTATGCATATAAATAAAATACTACATGCATATGAATATAAATATGTTAGTAATTTTGAATTTGAAAATAACATTTTTGTTTCTGTTAAAGTTTGTTCCGTAATTTTGAAAAAGCTGGACCTGATTTTTGACGGGTTCTTTATGTTAAAGGATTATGTTAGTAATTTTGAATTTGAAAGGAGGCCCTATGAGAAGTTGGAAGCGCTGGATTTATAATAATATCAAATAACTTGTGTTGTTGAGACTAATCTATACATATAAATAAAATTGGAGTGTCTGTTTGTAATATTGAAATAACCATATGCATATGAATATAAATACGGTACATACACCAAAAAATAACTTTTTACATTTTTTGTCTGTCTGTCTATCTGTTTATCATCCACTGGTCTCTGCAGCGTAAACAGAATTTGACGGGGTGCATAAATCCATTATCATCCATAAAAAAATACCCTGGCCCTGTCGAATGCGGATGTCTGTTGTGGCCAGTAAATCATTAGCGCAGGCGGGTGTATCATTACATTGTCATCATTAAAAAACAATGTGTTGTTTAAAGGTGAAATTATAGACGGGTAAACTTATACCCTAGCCATGTCGAATCGGATGTCTGTCTCAAATCGTTAGCGCAGGCGGGTGTATCATTACATTGTCATCATTAAAAAACATTGTGTTGTTTAAAGTTATAAGTTATAGATAAGGAATAAAGTTATACCCTAGCCCTGTCGAATGCGGATGTCTGTTGTGGCCAGTAAATCGTTAGCGCAGGCGGGTGTATCATTACATTGTCATCATTAAAAACCTTGTGTTGTTTAAAGTTATAAGTTATAGATAAGGTATAAAGTTATACCCTAGCCCTGTCGAATGCGGATGTCTGTTGTGGCCAGTAAATCGTTAGCGCAGGCGGGTGTATCATTACATTGTCATCATTAAAAAACCTTGTGTTGTTTAAAGTTATAAGTTATAGATAAGGTATAAAGTTATACCCTAGCCCTGTCGAATGCGGATGTCTGTTGTGGGCGGATGTCGTCAGCTGGGGCGGGGTCGAACAGCTCGTTCGTTTTATACGCAACCCCGGGGTACTTCTTGCGACGGGGCATCGCCGGCTCCATTGGTCCTGAACATAATAATAATAATCAGGGCAAATTCACACAGAGAAGAACAATAACTGACAAGAAAGCAAATTATATAAGCGACCTCGGTGGTCTAGCGGTCTAGCAAACCGCTTTACGTCTGATGGTCGCGGGTTCGATTCCACTTAGGGTGAAAACATTTGTATTCATAAGTATGTGGTATATATTATCTAAATTATAGTGTACTACTGTTAACTTGGATGTTAGAAGGACAAGACACTTATGTAGCGAACTCCTTGGTAGGTTTTTATATTGTTTTGAATTTTATAATCATATTATTTTGACATATTCTTTTTGTTACATTCTTTTATATGTAGTCGTATTATATTTTATTTTATCTCCGTATTTTCCTTATTAAAACCCTCAGCACCTCTCACTCATCAGACACACTAGGTACCTTTGCTACGGCTTTACTTCTGTCTTACTTCTTTATTATATTGACGGTGAACATAAACTATGAATAACAATGTACCCACATATATGCCAGTATCATTGTTTGTATCGGTCTGTGTTTTCTATGTGTTAGAATTCAGATCATTATTGTAGAAAAAATACAATATTTAAAAAAATATATTAAAGAAGGTAGTTTGTTTTTAGTACTAATGAAGTACCCAATGTGTTAATGCATTCTAATAGGGCCTTTTAAACCTACACCCGTGTCACAAGTCACAGGCGCTACTTGGGGATTCCCTTGCGGTAGCCGGTTTCAAAGCCTCAGTCGTCCCCCATAATTGGTTCTTCTTACATATGTATAAGTTATTTTTATTAGATATGGTGAGTAAGAGCTGACCTCGCTGTATGGGCAGCGCGTTGGGCGGCGTGGGTGCCGGCTGCTTCACCACGCCCTGCTGCTGCTGCTGTTCTTTGTACTCGTGCCATCTGTACGTGCTGCGGTACTCGGAGTGCAGCTGGAACAAAATACAGCACCGTCAGTATATGGAAACACCGATAACAAACCAACCAAATGAGAGAGTTCGCGAGTAACGTAACATTTATATTAAATCTGTAAAACGCTGATTTGCCGTTGTTTCAAAATAAACTTCAAAGTCAGGGGAAATAAAACACTTTATTTCATGATAAAAGGATCACAATTATGACAATAAGAAATTACAGGTAGATAGGTAAAAAGCCTATTAATTTTTTTTTCGGACTACTCTAATGCTGTTGGCCGCAGCTAGCCTTTACAACTTTACCAGACGATAGGGGGCGAGTGCAGATGACACTCCAAACCCGCGGAAGAACTTATAGAGCGGCTTAAGGCCAACTACCGCCTGACGGATAACACTTTAGTCTGAGGGCACCTCTAGCGGTTCGAACCTCTGCTCAGGTCGTAGTAATTTCGATGCTCGTTTGAATTGAAAGGGGGATTGATCGGACCCCTCCGATCGATCCCTCTTTCAATTAAAACGTGTCTATAATGAATAAACTGTTACAACTTATAGGTATCTAAAAACGAAACCATATCGCGTTGTAGCAATTATAGTTGTAATTAGATGTGCTAGTTACAACTATATAAACTAAAATTACAAAAGATTTAACAATGTTCTTATGGCAAATGTGGTTTCTCGTAACGCACGACTTCTGAGATACATTCGTTCAAACATGAAATGGTGTGACAACACCTATTTTAGTTATAGGTTCAGTTACTAAAAATGTAGTATTTTATTATAACAATTTACAGTTAAAAATCCTTTGTTTATTTATGCCCGCACCATAATAAGGAAAGAAGGATGGAAAGATAAAGTAAGAAATGAAAAAGTATTGCACAGGATGAAAGATAAAAGGCAGATATTGAATGCTATACAAAATAGACGAGGAAAAATGTTAGGACAATTGATACGGTACGATGAATATATGAAAGTAATTATGGAGAGAAAGATAGAAGGAAAGAGAGGGAGACCAAGACCAAGGCACAGCTACATAAAGCAAATGAAAGACAGTATGCACAATGCACCTCTTTGTTTATTATTTATGTATTTTGTCTATTATTTTATATAGAAAAATATATAGGACATTGTCATTCTTGTTCTACTAACTATTATACTGTTGTATATAATAATATATTATTGCTTCCTAAAACCCGTGTTTGCATAATTATATCTACCAGCCCCATATACATACAGTCCTTCGTTCACAGACAGAATTGGAGTCGTGTCGTATCAACATTTAAAGAGTATGATGAAAGATCGTAGAAAGTGGCAAGAGCTCCACCGATAAGAGCGTCGCTCTTAAAGTATGAATGAAATGAAAAAATATCTTAAGTTTTTTTGTACTACGTAAGCAGACAAGCATACGGCCCATGTGATAATAAACGGTTACCGTAGCCTATAGACGCCTGAAACACTATGAGTGTCATAGTGCGTCATGTGCGCAAACGTCTGTTTATAATAAAACAAATAACATCATCATAGATAATTCATAATAGGCTGTACACATAACATACATACAACTTCATATTATAACATTTTAATGGAAATAAATGTCAATCAATACTGATGTTGATGATAAACATTCGGCACACGTGGACGGAATTAAATCGACAATCGATTAATAAATAATTCAAAACACGACAAACGGACAGTAGGCCGGCGAGGCGGGGTGACCGACTTTAAGTGACAGTTTACTTGTACACTATATACGATAGTTTCTATATACAGAAACAGAAATAGAAATAATCTTTAATTATAAACTCAATATAAGCACTTCTGAATAGTCATATGTTTTATTCTACACTCATTCGTAGCGCAGACTCATCACAAGAAAAATGAGTAAGAAAGTCTACACTACTAGTACACAATTGTTATTTATGTCTTAATCGTTTATACAAACTAGTGTTCGTGCGTTAGATATTATTATTATTATTATTATTATACAAGATTATCTATACATATAAATAAAATTGTAGTGTCTGTTTGTAATATTGAAATAACAGTTTTTACTACATGCATGTGAATATAAATACTGTACTATACTACTCCTTTATATAAACTGCATAGTCATATTTTTTTTATTCAACTACTCATTCGGAGCGCAGACTCATCACAAGAAGAATGAATGAGTAAGAAACTTCACACTACACAATTATTTATGTCTTAATTCGTTTAATACAAACTAGTGTTCGCCCAACGTATATATTATGTATAATTTAAAAAAAAAATAGCATTCTAACGTGATAAACACGAAAGTTTGTTAGTACGGATGTTTGTTACTCTTTCACGCAAAAACTACTGAACAGATTTTGATGAAATTTTACAGTAACATAGCTTATACATCAGAATAACATGTATATCGGTTACATTTTATTTAAATTTATATATTGCGTTACTTCCCTTGAGAGACTCAAACAGCATGCAATGTCGGATGTGTACCTATTTTGGTATTTGGCTGACCATTTTACCAAAAATTGCAAAAAAATAAAATAAAATTTTCACTATAACCTCACAATGTCTTTGCAATCTTCTAAACAAAACAATGAGCTGATAAATGACAATCAAGTATTGACATGCGCAGAAACGACATTGCTTTCCGGTACCAATAATTAATGCGTGTGAAACCGCGGTCACAGCTAGTTATATAATAAATATCTTTATTATTATTACTAAGTACAATTAGTATAGTTTGGGAATATTTGGCCTGTTTGGTGAAGAGTAGTAAACTCCGACCTTCTGCTCTAATCACTATGACTGATTTCCTCTTATTAATTGTTTAACCAGTTGTTGTGTATTCAATATTTTTTCTATTTGATTATTTAATTGAATTAGTGCTAATCGGTAGTTTGTATACACACACTTAAACTTAAATTGTAAAGTAAGAATAAAATTATTTAAAAGAGCAACACTCAAGTTTCTGAGAAAGCTTTCCGAATGGACGATAGATTAAAAAAAATGTTATGACTATTCAAAAGTTCTTCAATGTAAGTTTATTTGTATAAATGAATTTCTATTACTATTTCTGATCTTAAAATTACACTTGACTTTCTAATTAACATGATGTAATAAACCCTTTACGTACATTATACATTGAAATGACGAATTGTTCACGCTCGCGCGGTGTATAACGAGACATTTCCTGTATAAAATTAATGTTACAGCGATATTACACGTATGTAATTTATATAACTCTGAGTACGTTATGGTAGCAATTATTTAATTAGTATAATAAACTTTATTATAACACATGCAGGTGTATATTTTATTCAAATTCAAATCTTTATACATGTAGGTCTATTACAGACTCTTATGGTGTGTCAAATCTACCGTCAGATCGGAATGATTTCGAGATGAGAAGAACTGACAAGAAACTCAGCTCGTATTCTCAATTAATTAGTATTATAAACTTTAATATTAGACATACAGACATAGAGATACATTACAGTTAATAATATACTAATATTATAAAGCTGAAGAGTTTGTTTGTTTGATTCCTTGAACGCGCTAATCTTAGTAACTACTGGTTCGAATTGAAAAATTATTTTTATGTTGGAGACTCCTTTTTTCGAGGAAGGCTTTAAGCTATATAACATTACGCTACGACCAATAAGAGCGGAGCTGTAATGAAAAATATTGCAAAAGGTTGGGAAATGAAATGCAGACGAAGCTGCGCGGTCCACCTAGTTATAAATAATGTCAGAACAATTCACACAGCATCATCTAGACCCAAGTTAAGCTAGCTAAAGCTTGTGTTATGGGTACTAGATAATTTGATACAAATTCATAGATATTTTTTTTCGTCAATACATACATATTATACATAGAAAACACCCAGACCGATACAAATAATCATACTTACGAATACAAATGTTTGTGCGAGGAATCGAACCCGCGACCATTTTTGACATGTATTGTATAATATTACAATAGATGTCAAAATATTGTTACTGGAGCGATATAATTTTGCATAAATATATTATACAATTAATGGCATGTCGACATGTTGAACCAATAACCTGGTTTTTGTTAAATTACCCGTAACAATACAGTAATTGATATATTACACGTATACGTGATGTGTGAATTATTTGCTATTAACCGAATAAATAAAATGGAGGATTTTTCAAAACGATATCATCTCAGCGTCATCATCATCACCTCACCATATATATATAACGTACAGGATACAGAAGCCGATAGTACTGCTGAATCTTCTATCTAATTTTTACCCAATGCATTCTACAATTCATTCTCATTCAAGTTTCTTGCTCATTCTTCTTGTGATGAATCTGCATTCCGAATAATAATAATAATAATAATAATCTCAGGATAATTCACACAGCACCATCTAGACCCAAGTTAAGCTAGCTAAAGTTTGTGTTATGGGTACTAGATAACTGATACATATACATAGATATATATTTTTTTGTTGTAAATAAATACATATAGAATACACCCAGACCGATACAAACAATCATACTCATGAATACAAATGTTTGTGCTGTGCGTTGAATCGAACCCGCGACCATCGGTCGTAAAGCGGTGTGCTAGACCGCTAGACCACCGAGGTCGTCAAGTGGTATGGCTATTCAAAAGTGCCTGTAATGAGTATAAAGATTATTTCTATTTCTATTTCTTAGAAACAATAGTCGTCAAACCGTCTTTTTCCTTTTTCCGACTTTTTTACAGTTTGGATTAAATATTAATTATTTATGATTTTTTAAGGCGATTCTACATAATCTCAGGTACGTATTATTTCTACAATATATTATAAATAGTATTGTATACATTTAAAAGATATACAATATTATTCTTTAAAATAAAAAGCAACCTATTAACCATTTATATAAACTTGCGCACTATTTATGATATTATAAATGAAACCAAATATTTTATCGATAAAAATTATCGTATCACTCACATCCCTGCCTCGGAGGCGGATAGTTTGCCGACTGCAAATCTCCAATTTCGCCCTCAAT